CAGAGAGAGACAGACAGAAAGCAAGAAATCACTCTCCAGGGGAGATGGCCACGCCACAGTCCCTTCTCCTCCTCTTGGGATCTTGGGCATGCACTCACACGTGCCCAGCGTAAGTTTAAAGATACTGGGTCCAGGACACAAACCGCGGTTGACCACATGGGAATCCATCAACATAGCCATTACGCTAACTGTTGGTCCCTTTCAAGATTTTATACAAAATATTCCTCACCCCAAATACCTTTCTCTCACTCAAATAACTCTCCCAAGCTGAATATGCTCACACGTTAGCGTTAGTGTGCGATTATATTCCACACATGCTGGTTATAATACTTTTCTCTCCTATTGTTGGTTTCCTTGAGGACAACATAGTTTTGCACTTTGTAAATATTTGGTAGAGAGACTTAAATAACAAGACAACTCCAATTTCAAATATTTATACAAAATAGAAGTGAAAAGTCATAAAATTATAACTGGTCTATCTAGCATGGACTGTTCTTTTGACCAAGTGAGCAAGCAGTTAGTGCTTGAGGGATACGTGTTATCGTCATCATCTAGACCTCAACAGCAGCAATTGCTTTCCTGGTCAATTTAGGAAGGTATTATTATGTTATTATGACTATTATAGTCCTGAATCCCTAACCTAGAGCACAGATGATAAAGCCTAGTACAACAGAGTAAAAGACAAAAAGGACAGGCATTTGCTAGATTTAAAGTCCACAGTAACTGATAACATACAATGATTAGGAAGCTTAGGATCTGGGCATTTTTTTCTGGAAAAGAGGATTCACAGCTTTCATCAGTTCTCAAAAGAACCCCAAGACTTCAAAATTGTTAAGAATCATAGCATATATGAAGTAGGCATCTCAAAATGTATGTTAGTAATTTTAGGGCAGAAAACTATAAACATTAAAAATACTTTACCTAAATATCTTCCATATTAGTTTAAATAAATAAGGTCTAAAAACATTTATATGCCCATTATTTATCATGTATTTGCTATCTCCAACTAAGTACAAGTTACTTAAAATACCAAAGCCACAGAGGAAGGGCTCCCCTGAATATTAGAAGCACAGAAAAGGGAAGAGCAATGGCAGATTTGAGAGCTGCACTTTCTGGTAGTTTAGAAAGAAAAGCTGAAGTCTAGCAGCCTCAAAAAGCTTTAAATTCAGTTCACTATCAACTATCTACAGTATGGGAATAGGTTAAGTTCATAAGAAAGAGAGTGAAAGAGAAATAAGTACAAGAAAATAAATTAATGCTACAATGAGAAACTGTTAAATTCCTAACCTTGCTAAGCCACTGATCCAATTGGGAAAGGCTCCTAAAAGGATCTTATGCCACTCTGTAAAGCTGGCAGGAAACATACAAAATGTAAGGATATCAACAGCTGAGGAGACTCAATTACATTCAGAATACACGTTTTTTATAGTCTAGATCTAGGTATCAAACCTACAAAACTATATGAAAAGAATTTTACTTTTATATTATTTTAAAAACCAGTCTTAACCCACTCTGCACAATGATGGTGCTTAACTGTAATGAACCGTTGTTCCAAATACAGGAACAACTCTGAACCAAAGCTCTGCACCTGTTCCTGCCATACATACAGGAGACAAACAGGGGAAACCCACAACCACAACTGACCAAATGTGGTTCCATTCACCACAGGACTTCTAGTAAAGCATGCATTCAGGAGTGAGATTAAAAAGAGGAGAGCATTAAATAACGTACCAAGGAAGCCATGTGCATGGCACTAGAAGAGAGCTTTTGATTTTTCTTTTAAAGAAGATGCTGACAGGTAAGTATACATGACACTAAACAGGAAATGCTTCTAAGAGAAGAAATGCAAAATATACATGTGTATGTGTGTATATGTGTGTACGTGTATGTGTGCGTGTATGCATGTCTAGCTTGTCCGTGCAAATACCTGGACTGCCAATTCCTGCTACAAAGTCCCATACATGGACATATTGGTGCCACATGAATTTGTAAGCTCTAATATTAACTAAGCCTTAAACTACAGGGGAATTTTTGTGTGTATGCCTAGTCAGTTCTCTCTGGGTCTATATAAAATTATCTCAAAAAGTTTTTAACATTATTCTTCATTTTTCTAAAAATTAACTACCACCATCACCACTACCTCAAATACCCTCAGCAGAAGACCTCATATCCTACTTTAGCATAGAAAACAAAAGGCACTGAAAGAAGAAGTGAATGTCTTACCATCAAATCTACAAACATCCCTGCATCTCCTCTCACCACACTGGCAAAGACGGTCTTTTCTCTCTGAGTTACCAACACTCATGCTTTAGATCCCCATCTCCCTGGCTTTCTTGAGAGTTTTATATACTAATTATCCCCTCTCTCTGTATCTTCAACCTCTGCCTTTCTACTGTCTCCTTATAAACATGAAACCCATCCATTTCTCTCCCATCTAAAATGAGAAAATTTTCTCTCGAATCTACAATACTCCTTATTCCTCATCACAACTGAACTTTCTGAAAGAAATGGACTATATCCATAATTTCCCATTTCCTAAATTCCCAGTAACTTCTCAATCCAGAAGATTCTTGCTTCCTAGCCCATTGCTCAGTTCGTCAAAGTCATCAAGGGACATATTCATCTCTATCACTTGACCTTCCAGCCATAGTCAATACTACTGACATTTCTTCCTCCTCCTCAAAACTCTTGGTTTCTGTGAGAACTGTACATTCCTCCTATTTCTTCAGCATGGTCTCTGTCTCCTCTGTAACCCCCTCTTCCCTCCTCATTCTTAAATGTGAATGTTGCAAGGTTCTGTAAGGCCTAGTTCTCTCCTCACACAAGTGAAGGGCAGCACCATTCACTCATCTCCCCAACATTTCCACTTGGATGGTGTGCAGCTCAGTTTCAACATCCTAACAAGCTAAACTCTTCACCAAATTCTGCTAATTACTTCAAGACCTACATCCTTCAAATCCTACCACTTCTCTGCCTGCCCACTGATTATACACTAGTTCAAGTAACCAGTCTCTCTCTACCCCTTATCGCAACAGTCTTCTAAGTGCTTCTCTGCTTGGGGCTTAGTCCTGTTCTATCGATTATGACTTGCTACGAGGATGATTTTGTTCCTCTGGAGACTGACATTAATACTCCCCTGCTTAAGAAGTTAGCTGTGGGCCCAGCAGATGGAACTGTGGTTTAGGTGGTGGACTCTCACATGGCCGACTGTGGTTGGAGTCCTGGACCTGGTGGCTTGAAAATCACTCTGGGTGCATGTGTGTGCATGTGTGGCCAAAATTCTGAGAGAAGCATGGAAGAGAAGGGACTGCAATGTGACCTTCCCCCCTGGGGGGCAGTGATTTCTCACTTTACATCTCTCTGTTTCTCTCTGGAGATCACACATGCCCTATGGCAAAATCCTAAAAAATACACAATAAAAAAGGGAAAACAAAAATAAATAAAAAGTTAGCTGCACTGTATTGTCTTTAGAACTAAATGTAAGCTTCCAATTTACTAACTCAGCCTCATCCCTACTCTATCACCTTTACTTCCAGCATATTGAAATTCCTCCTACTCTTCCTATATGTCATACTCTTCCTCTCCCTCTGCCTCTCACTCTAGGTCTGCACACATGGTACGATCTATCCAGAACACACATGTGTCTCCCCATGTCTCCCTAGCCAACTCTAATACATACTTAAGGTCCTGGCTTAAATACCGGTTCCTCTAGATGAACTGTACTTGGTATGTGCCTACATCACACACTACATATCTTCCATAAAGTACTTTTTCTCACTGCTTATTTAGTTGTTTTCCCCAATAAATTGTCATCAGCAAGATGGTAGTGATTTGCATCTGTTTAATTTATTGGTATGTCCATAGTACCTCAGCATAGCAACTGGCACACTCAGTACTAGGCACTCAATATTTGTTGTCAGACGCAATAAATTCTGTCCACTAGGTTTTCATAGAGAAAGTTGCTCAGAGCCTCTTAAGTAAATGAAACTTTAAGACACCTCTAACATAGGGCAGAAATAAAAAGAAACATAAAGACATAAAAAGCTCAAGAGAGCTAAGTAAAAGTGTCAGCCTCATTTGCCACTGCAAGATGAGAAAGGAATGGCATTCCCTCCCAAATCTGTATGGTGATGTCCTAACCTCCAGTGTGAGAGCATTCAGAGCTGGGGCCTCTGAGAGATAATTAGATTTCGATGATGAAGTCCTGAGGGTAGGTTCCTCAAGATGGGATTAGTGCTCTTATAAGAAGAGAAACACAAAGTTTCCTCATTCTCTCCCCACTGCCATATATGGATACAGTAAGAAAGTGACTTTTGGGGCCAGCAGGTGGCATGGTGGTGAAGGCACTAGACTCCCACATGACTGACCACAGTTTGAACCCCAGATCTGGTGGCTTGAAAATTATGAAATGCATGTGGTTATGTGCCTAAAATCCTAAGAAGAGAGAATAGAGAAGAAGGGATTGTGGCTAGGCCATTCTCCTGGGAGGGCAGGGGGTGATTTCTCACTTTCCCTCTGTCTATCTTTCTCTGTCTCTCAGCAAGTGTACATGCTCTATGGTAAAAACCAAACTTTCAAAGAAAAAAAAAAAAAGTGACTGTCACAAGCACAGCTAAGAGCTTTCACCAGAAACTGACAGTGCTGCAACTTGATCTTAAACTTCCCCGAGGACTATGAGAAAACAAATGTGTTTTCATGTATTTTGTTTACACCACCCTGTTGTGGTATTTTCTTACGGTACCCTGATCCAACTAATACAGAACTGTACTCACAGTTGGAGAGTCCACTTACTGGTTCCAGTTCCAGCTGGGCTCAATAGTAGTATCTATAGGTTGGTTAAGTAACACTAAGACATGTTTTGAGGATTTTTTTTAAGTACTACCTTTCAGAAAACAATTTGAAAAATGAAAAAGATTAAAAGGGAAGCATGAAATCATAAACAGGTATAAGGCAGGCCTATAAGAATGCATTATTAATCTAGTAATAAGAAAAATACTTACCACCACCATGAATGTAAAAATCCTGGCGGTTCTCCCAATGTGATGTTTTTTTCCCATCTTATCTAAAATGAATAAAAGAAATAGTAAGTATTTTCCTAATAGTACTTTTTCCCACACATATTATAAATAAAGCCTATTTTTCCATTTAAAATACTATGGTAGGTAATATTTAATTTTTAATTATTTCCATATTATTCTTTACTCATGTTTTACAAGTATTCATTTTGCATAGTGATTTATGAACTGAATTAGTCTAGGAGAGAAGATGTCACCATTATTATCCTGAATTTGCTTCCCACTGTGCCTTTTATTAAGCTCTTGTCTCTTAGCTCTAAATCCATCTTTCTGTGCTCTTTTAAGATGCTGAGGCTAGGGATCCGCACACTACCCTTATCTTTCATTAAATGATTTCCTGTTTGGTCCCGTAAGCTAAGAGAGACTCTAAAGGGAGACTGGAAGTAGGAACAGGGGACTGGGCTGGCATCCTATTAGCTTGTTCTTGTCATGTCATTCCCAACAGCAGCTGCTCATCCCATTCTGGCTTCCTCCAACACCATCAGACCCAGTCTCGTCATGCCCTCAGCAACAGCAGCACAGTCAGGCAATGCCTCTCCTCAGAAGTTCTTTAAAAATAATAATAATGATAATGATAATAAATAAAATTAAACCTTTAAAAAAATCAGTTATCATCGACGACCCAGAAATCTGCAAGAGGTTGGGCTTAACCTGTAGACTCTAAATTTACCTTAAAGATTGAATTTTTAAATGAATGATTTCATTGATTTTATTTGAAGGATTTGAGAGAAGGAGGGCGTCTTTCATAAAATAAGAGCTAAAAAAAGATGGTGATATTAACTTAACAATTTATAATTTAGATGAGTTAGGATTCGCTATAATAAAAATTTAAAATAAGGTCAGTATCTCTCAAAAATGAAAAATTTTTGATAAATCCTTTTATAAAGTAAATTTAGATTAGATGTCAGAAATCTTGGCAGGTACTTACATGGTGTCTTTTTCTTTTTAAAGTTTATTTAGTTTGTCCCTGAGCAAGAGACAGACACATACAGAGAGACATCACTCCCAACATAGTCATGTCAACCAAACAACAGGCCCCACAGGATCATGGGCAAGTGTGTTTCTGGCATAGGGAGGTTTCTGACCCTAACAGGAAACCTTCTCACATGGGATTGCCTCACAGTGTCCTCTTCTACATCTGGCCCTCTATATGGTTCCTTTTGTAAGCAATGGATAGCAGCAAACATAAAAGGTAAAAATCCTTTTCTTCAGGGAGATTATACTTTAGTAGGCAAGACATACCATAAGCAATCTCCCCCAACACACACACACACACACACACACACACACACAAAGTAAATTATGTTTGCATTAGAAGATGACAGTTGTTATGGAGAAAAATAAAGCAGTGAAGGGAGTTAGAGCAGGAAAACATTGTAGTTACAGTTAGAAATAAGGTGATCCAGAAACGTTTTGAAAATAATTTCTATGTACATGTCATAGTTATTTAGTTTAAATAATAAAAATTATTTAACAATACTCTAATCAGCAAAATATGCTTATAGGCCTTTAACATTATTAAGAAGGAATAACTATAATTATGTATAGACTTCAGAAAAATAAAAGAAATTCTTTCCATCATCTTCTACAGAAGTTAGTTATGCTTATCCTAATAGGATTTAAAAAAAAAAAAAAAAAAAGTGGGACCAGCAGATGGCATAATGGCTATGTCACTGGACTCCCATGTGGTCGATTGCTGTTTGAGTCCGGACCTAGTGGCTTAAATTCATGCCAGGTGCATGTGCGTGCGTGCCCAAGATCCCGAGAGGAGAAGGGATTGTGGCGTGGCCATCCCCCCTGGTGAGTGATTTCTTGCTTTCTGTCTCTCAGTCTCTCTCTCTCTTTCTGGAGAGCCCATGTGCCCTATAGCAAAAACCTCTCCAAAAAAAAAAAAAGGAAGAAAAAAAGAAAAAGAATAGAAAAACTAGAAGGAGAAATTCCAGGAATTAATCAACCTGAAGTTAGAAAGACTAAATACAAACAATAATCCCAAATTTGTTATATACACTAGATTCTAATGAGAACTCCTCTAAGTAGTAGCACAGAGGTGGGCAAGTGGCATGGTGGTTATGCCGCCAGGTCTGGGACTCACAGTTGGCCATGTGGGATCCAGCTGCCATAACCACCACATCACTTTCTGGCCTACTGGTTGATGTCTTCTTACAAGTCCATAAGAACGGGCCTTCACAAACGTGACCCAGCCACACCAATATTCCTAAACCACTGGAACCAAACTAACCATACGAAGAGCAAGTTTTTCAAAGTAGTGTCCTTAAATTTCATTTCAGTTCATCTTGCTTTATATGGCTTGATCGTGAAATAAAACAGAGATATGTATTATTTTCAGTTAAAAGAAGAAAAATGAGAGATGACTTACAGAGGAGTGAAAGCAGCATAACTAGGTCTCAGTGCCAGGATGTGCTGGAGGCGGAATTAGCCTCACAGTCTAATGAACCCCACAACACCGCATCAGTTACTGAGCAGTCTCCCTTGCACTTCCACAACCTCCACAGTCAGTCACTGAGTATTACAGGAGATAAAGTACTGAGAAGCTATCTATACAGCTTTTATGAAAGGACGTCCGAAGGTAATCTGTTTGTATTTTATTTCACTTTGTGGTGCTTGTGTTTGTGGTGTGTGTGCATGTTTGTGGGAGTCTCACTCTGTGTCTCAGTCCACCTGCCTCCGACTTCTGAGTGACTGGGACTACAGGTGCATGCCACAACACCAGGTTTTTCAAGGTGAGCTGGCTAGCAATCAAACAAGGCCTCCAACGTGGCCTCAGTCTGCCAACTGCGTCCAACACACACTACTGTGGCTAGGCCCACCTGTATTTTAAACAAAATTACATGCTCTTATTTCTTGGAGAAACTCAAAATGCTTTACAAACACCATCACTTTCATCATCATTATATTTTTCACTATAGTGTATAGAGATCATCTTTCTCACTTTAAATTGCAAGTCTGTGTCTAAGCATCTGGAACTTCAGTCCATGAGACTGAAGTTAACACAGAAGCCATTCTTTTATCATTACCGAGTGAGCAATACTTTTTTTAAAATTTTTTTGAAGAAGTTTTTGCTACAGGGCGCGTGCGCTCACCAGACAGAGAGAGACAGAGAGATAGAAAGTGAGAAATCACCCCCCAAAGGGGATGGCCATGCCACAATCCCTTCTCCTCCATTCTCCTCTCGGGATCTTGGGCATGCACGCACATGCGCCCGGTGTGAGTTTAAGTCACCAGGTCCGGGACTCGAACCACGGTCGACTACGTGGGAGTCCAGCGACATAGCCATTACGCTAACTGCTGGTCCCCCCGAGTGAGCAATACTTAAAGCTATGCTTTAGGTAGTTCCAAAGAAGAAATAGTTCTACATAGAAATATGTTTCCATAGTGAAAGCATGCTCAAAAAAAGTAAAACAGAAAACTAAACAATAGTCACTGTACCATTGTAAAAAGAAAAAAAAAAAGAAAAATTATAAATAATATGAGAAACATTTATTAAATATAAAATAATTCTGGCACTTATATGCTACACAAGTGTCAATCATTTAAAAGGATGATATGTATATCTATATATCTTTATCTATATAGATAAATAAGATCCTGTTCTTAGTTTCTCAAGGTGGAGATTTAGATGGTTAGGAAACAGTAAGTATATTATAAAACCTTTTCTATTGGAAAAAGAAAATAGTTTGCATAAATGTATATGCATTTGAGTGTGTGTATATTAAAGAAACCACACCAAACTTAACAACTAATATCTGGAAAAAGGTACAGAAGGACTTTCATTTTAAAGTTGTGTTCTTTTATGTAATTTTTTAAAAAGTAAACAAGTATTTATGAATGGGTAGTGCTGATTAATGGTCAGAAAATACTCCTAAATGTCCACATTTTAGCAACATTTTTTTTTGCTATTTATGAATAGGTATTTTCTATTTTACTGAGTCTCGCAGGCTTCAGGATTCCTCAGGTACTAGGATGGCGTCTATGCTAACATTTCTCTTTATTCTGTTTATCCTTCTTCCATTATCTCAACCCTAATTTGTACTCCCCTAATTCTAAGGTTCTTTGCCATTTAAATATCCACTTCCTTCTTCCTTCATTTGACTAGTTATATATAACTTTCAGAAAAATTTCAAGGCCAATTCCTACTGCCATAGTCTACATTCCAGGACTCTGTCTATGATTTTATGTGTCTATTATACAACCTAGCATTTCAGCATTTCTACACAAAATTGAATTAAATTTTAAATTTAATTTTAATTTTAAAATTTAAAATTTCTACAACCAACATTGAATCATGAACAAAAGATATATTGACAAAAGTAAAATATGCCTTGTAGTATAATAATAAATCAGAAATTATCTGATACCTTCTTCTAGAAATTTATGCAAAATTGTATACACATAAAAATCAATTTTCATTGAAGTACTGTTTGTTATTAAAAAAGAATGGAAACAACCTAATGTCCTTCATGAAAGGCTGGTGAAATACACTGTAGCGCATTGCACAGAATGAAATACTCTATGAGTATTAAAAGGGAATCATGACATTGCATGAACCAATATTCCAAAATCTTACAAGTGAAACAAAACTCCAAGCACAGAACAGTTTGTATAATAAAATAACATTTGTGTACATAAAAAATGATGCCCTCACACACACATGAACATATAAAGGTAGGTACACACACACACACACACACACACACACTTGCTTAATTTTTTATCGTTATTTGTTTCTGGCAAGGTATACTGGTCACTTACCTATTATCTCTCAGCACCATATCAACTTTTCTACTCTACACTTGGGGCTGAGATCCTGAAAATTCTTAGCCTCCTTATCCACCAGCATAATTACTCATAAGTTCTGCCACTAGGAGACACTAGCAGGAGAGATCAAAAGGCAGGAGGAAGAAGAGAAGCTTCCTGCCTCTGGCTCTCAAAATAAAGCAAATGCTGGCTGCTGCACAGCAGGGAGCAG